AAATCTCTTAATTAGTCCATTGGACTGAGGATGATAAGCAGTAGTTCTAATGCGATGTGTACCCAAAGTTTTCATTAAACCCTTAAATAAGTGAGATTCAAAATTTCGGCCTTGATAAGTTGTTATTGATACCGGGTAGCCAAATCTTGCTATCCAGTTATGCACTAACACTTTGCAAGTCATCTGAGCTGACATGTCGACAGTAGGTATGACTTCTGGCCATCTAGTAAACCTGTCAATAATTGTCATGCAGTAACGGTTACATTCAGATGGTGGAAGAGGACCTATGAAATCAATATGGATATGTGGAAATCTTGCATCAGGCAAGGAAAAGGTACCCAACGGTGATTTCGTATGCCTATGAATTTTAGAACGTTGGCACTGTAGACATGATTGAACTGCAGTTTTAATAAATTTCTTCATATTAGGCCAAAAATAGCGCTTAGTAGTTAATTTTGTTGAAGTTGAAATACCAGCATGAGAAAGACAGTGAATCTTCTGAAATATTTTAGAGCGAAAAGATTCAGTACGAATGGTCGAGGCATACCTGTGTCCATAAAGAGTAACATCTTCTAAAGGAAAGTAATGTTTTTCAAGTTTAAAAACTGGTGAAGATTGAGATAAGTAATTTTGAATTTCAGAGTCCTGAATTTGTGCTTCGGATAACTTTTTATAATCAATGTGTTCATTATCAGATACTGCATCTATTTCTACCCTAGATAAGGCATCAGCAACGATATTGTCACTACCTTTTATGTATCGTATGTCAGTGGAAAATTGGCCAATAAAATCAAGATAACGAAGTTGTCGTGGAGAACACTTTCGGGCTTCTGCTTAAAAGCATATATTAAGGGCTTTTGGTCAGTGTAGATTGTAAAGACCCTGCCTTCAAGCATGTGCCGAAACTTCCTAATAGACAAATAAATTGCCAATAGTTGTCGATCATAAGTTGACCATTTCCTTTGACTTTTGCTGAGTTTAACGGATAGAAACGCAATGGGTTCCCAAACTGAATTATGCAGTTGCATTAATGAGCTACCAACTGCAACGTCCGATGCATCAGTACAAAGTTTCAAAGTCGCACTAGGAATTGGGTGTTTGAGAAGGGTTGCCTCAGCAATTGGCCTTTTTGCATTTTCGAATGCTTTCTCGGCTTCGTCGTCCCATTCGAATAGATATTCTTTTGTTGTGCTTGGTTGTGAAGGTTTCCTTTTATTAATGTGGCCTTCCAGTAACCTATTCAAGGGAGCTAAAACATGTGATGCTCTTGGGACAAAACGTCTGTAAAAATTAAATATGCCAAGAAATTTCCTTAACTGAGTTAATGTGTTTGGTTTAGGAAATTTTTTAACAGCTTCTACCCTCTCGGGTAAAGGTTTTAAACCCTGTTCAGATACATGAAAACCCCAAAATTCCAAAAAAGTTCAACCAAAATTGCATTTAATACATTAAGTCTTAACCCATAATTACTTAATCTTTAAAAAGGGCTTTTAGGTGTATCAAATGCTCATTTCCGTCATTTGACGCTTTCAATATATCGTCAACAAAAGCAAATACACCTGGCAGCTCGCGAGTTACTTCCTCAATAAAGCGTTGAAAGGTTTCAGCTGCATTGCATAACCCAAATTGCATTCTTGTGCCCTCGAAAAGTCCAAAAGGAGTGGCAATAGCCGTTTTATTGATATCAGAGGGATTAATTGGAATTTGGTGATATGCTTTAACCAAATCTAATCGAGAAAATACCTTTGTTCCATGGAACTCCGCTGCAAAATCGCAAATATTGGGAATAGGATACTTATCCTTCACTGTCTGAGCGTTTAACCTCCGAAAATCTCCCACAGGTCTCAATTCGTTTGTGCCCTTTTTTGATACCATATGAAGAGGAGAGGAGTAATTACTTTTGGAGGGTCTCATGTGACCTAAATTGATCATTTTCTGAATTTCATGCTTAGCAATTTTTAATCTATCTGGAGCTAATCTCCTTGGCTTACATGAAACAGGAGGACCAATGGTTTCAATGAAATGCATAGTATTATGCTTAACAATCTCATTGAGATCAGGAAGATTTGACAGTGAAGGATAGGTAGACAGTAATTTATCATAAATACAATTTGTAATAATATTTTTAACAGAATATAAATGTGTGTTAATTGCACTGCAGTTAATTTTTAAATGTGTTTTGAAATCAACAAGTTTTTTGTTCCTTAAATCTGGCAATAAATCAAGGTAATGCAAAAAATCAGATCCAATAATATTTGTTGACTCTTTACACACATAAAAAGTAAAATTAAAATTACGACGAAGTCCAAGGTCAATACTTAACGCTTTTTGTCCGTAAACTGGAATAGGTGTACCATTTGCTGCAGAAAACGTCATAATAGGTGTTTGACGCGCTTCCTGTCTGGTTGCTGAGAGAAAACTGACGTCTGAGCCAGTGTCGCACAAAAATATTCTATTCGATTTCCTGTCTCTAATGAAAAGGCGACGAGACTCGGAGGGTAAAGCGCATGTCGCCACTACACTTTCCCTGGTATGTACATGATGGAGCACACTTTTTAGCTTTGTCATATTTATGATGATACCAACAATAGGAACAGTTCGAAGCAGCTTTAGCTGAAGGGCTTCGCTTCCTGTTATAGCGATTTTTGGAAACCCTGCGTGATCGTCGTCGAGATAAAACCTCGCTACGCAATTTGCACACTTCCTCCAGTAGGGAATCCAATTTAAAATTCTCAGAGACATTGAGAGCTACACGAGAAGAAACTTCGCTTACCTGAGCGGGTGTAACTTCCAATATTCTATCCGCGATACTGGCAGCTTTCGATGAATCGAGCGGCTCAACCGACGCTAGAATAGACTGAACATTTGGCGGCATCTGGTGCATGAATAATTCCAGTAAAAAAGAGTCAGACACATTGTATTTTTCAGCCCGCCTAAATTCTTTCTTCTTAGTCAGTTTTCACTTTTTGACTAAGCTTCCTATTTTAATAATAAGTTAGCAGAAATTCACTTTTTCGCGAAGAATTAGATTTTCTTGAATCTTTACATTTTAAACATTTCCTTATTTTTTATTGAGCTCCTTTTGAATAGCAGAAAATTAAGTTTCGTCGAATAATCCTTTTGAGCATTTAACCTTCAGACGTATATATAACGCTGAATGTTACATAGTAATTTATTCCATTCGTTTCATTATTTATTTACCAGATGTCTACTTGTTTGTTTTCCTGTTCGGGGCTCTTTTGAATTTGATTATTTGATTAAAATGAAATATAGAAGGAGTTTTTCCCAATGAAAGAGACGCCTATTCGAGAATTTGCTTCGGAAAACTAGCTTGCATTCTCGCTATGCTTAAGAAAAGCCATTCGCCAGGACTTAAATCGAAGTCAAATTACCGTTGTTCAACGATCTAAAATATTTGACAACTGGTACACTCTGTTTTCTAGGTCGATGTTAAACATTCGATGCTGCAAAACACAGGTTAGGTTATACTTCTGACCAACGGTCGAACAGTAAAAACGTTGAACGCTGGTAAATCGGACCTGGGTTCGATTCCAGGGGAATGGGCTAGCTGGAAGGGCGTTTCCCTGGATTTTTGTTTGTGTAAAGTGTATTTTTTCTTCGAAAGGTCTCCACGAAGACGTCCCTTTTCTTAGGCAGATAGCCCTAGTGTGCCTTGCAGTAATCTGAATAAACCAAAACCGAACTGCACCCTTGCTTATTTTCATTTCCGTAAATGCCCCTTGTCTTTTATATGCACGTTGTATTTTTATGTTCGGTTGATGAAACTAGCATAAGACGATGCTTAACAGCTTAAATCGCATACACAAGAGTGACTCTAGTGACTTTAAAATCTCTTCTACGAAAATGCGCTTGAACTATTCGAAACGGTGCTAAGCATTTTCATAAAATAACCAAAACTATTGGAAATATTCGAATTTTACCTTACAAAGTAAGAAATATCTAAGTGCTAATTTTTTCAATTAAAATAATTATTACTAAAAAATGTTGCATGAACCATTAAAAGAATTAGAAAGATAATATTTCCAACAATTTTTTTTTTTGGGGGGGGAAATTTTTTTAATGAAATTTGCGCAGATTTAGATCTTAACAGAATTTTCTTTCAGATCTCACCACAACACTGGAAGACAAAAATCGATAAATATGGTTTGGTTTATTTTGAGTACCTAAGGGCATCTGTCCTTTTAAAGGGATGCCTTCGTGGGGGTCTATCTAAAAGAAGCTGGCTCTTATCCTCCTTACACATGGAAACAAACCCAAAAATGCCCACCGTTCGCCTGGAATGGAACTCAGGTTGAACTATCAGTGTTCAGCGATTTTACCACTCAGTCGTTGGTGCCCTTAAGGATTATGAATCCCCGCTTTATGATTAAATACAGCTTTTACGTGTGGAGGAATTCTTTACCCAATAAGAAAGCGCAGTTTTTGAACAAAGGTTTCAGAAATCATCTTGTTTTAAAATGGAAGCTTCAGATACTTCTGTTTTTTTATTTCTGCATTATCTTTATGACATTTAAGACATATATTGTCCTTGCGTGCCAAAATGCACGTACGTATGTCTCTAGTTTGCGAACGAAATTAATTGAAGTTCATCCAATGCAGTAACTGAGTTCAGTATGAATGCAAATATCATTATACTATATAAGTAAGCGTAAATGTTCATAAAGCTGCCATTGTCTTCTTTCGATTTTTTTATTTGCTTCTTTTTCAACATCTTGGGATAAATACGTCGGAGAGCTTTCAGATGTTTAAAACACAGAATGTGCGTAGGATAACTTTCTTTCACTGAAGAAAGATAATTGATTGTTTTTCTAAAAATTCCTTTTCATTTGCAGTTAACGATAAAGTTTAAAGGAATTTTTGTTCTTGAATGGCAACTGATAATTATATAATTCATTATGGTTTTCCCAAATTACAGTTATAAGAAATAAAAGGCGCTCAAAAATGGAACAGAGATTTAAGAGATTTAAAAATTTACGTACTTGCTTCCTACAACGTGAGTAAAACAAACCAGAGAATGCTATTATGAGAAAAGCAAATAAACTTCCAACAAGTGCAGAAAATGTGCTTCCTTTCCCTGTGAAACCGAAACGGGCAATAATTAGTTAATTCATACAGAGTATGTAAATTATTAACATATGTAACTCACAATAGGAAGCAAAACTTACTAACATTTAAAGTAGCATTAGAAATGAGCTTAATCCTAAATGATTCAAGAACTAGAAAATTAGTACAGTCGTCATGTAAGTAAACCGGGTAGGCTACTAGATTTGAAGATTAACGAGTATAGTTTTGACTTTAAAAAAATAGTATTTCAAGTTTACTGATATTACCCTAATTCCTGGTGCTAATTTTTGAGCATTTTTGGATTATATTCAATGCTGTCTTCTATCTTATTCAAAGCCTGAGATTTTGATTAAAATCAAATTATTTCGATAAGAAAAAATGAAGAAAATCTAAAAGCTTTCAGATTTTATTACGCCTGTAGGGGCCGGTTTTCTCATTTGCACACACATACACGTTTCGAGAGCAGTTGGATTAACGAGCTGCCTTGACTAAAAATATTTAAAACCAGCATATATTTACAACTTCCGTTAGGCAGTTTCGCGCGCTGAAGATAACAATATTTAAATCCGTACAGTGTTGCCAATGCTCTCTTTGAAACCGTTGCGTTTTTTAATCGAAAATTCGTCAACATTTTAAAAAATATGAACTAGATAATAAAACAAATTCGAAATTCAAAAGTTGGTCTTTCAGATGCTCATATCCTACATTATTCCACGATGCGAGAAATATACTTATATTAATGCAGATTATTTATTATTAGTCGAAAAGTGAAATTTGCCCGGAAGAACTATTAATTTCGTTTTGGCATTTTGCGTGATTCACTACAAGCGTTGTTTCACTTTTCAAATTGTTGCCACCAAATATTATTGCCTTGAATTATATTTAAAGAAATTAAATAATGAAGAATATGCATAAATGTATGTACGTATGTTTCTCGCATCGTGATAAAACAACGGCACTTAGAGCCATCAAATTTTGAATATTGCCCACCCGAACATGGGCATCTGGAAGCCCACATGTAAAATTTCGAATTTGTTTTATTATCAATTTCATATTTTCTAAAACTGTAACTAACTTTTGATTAACAAACTCAAGGATTTCAAAGCGAGCAATGTCAACGTTGTACAGAAAAAGCATTTTTATCTCCAGTGCGCGAGACTATATATCGGAAATTCTAAACGTATACTCATTTTAAATTATTTTGCGATGTTGCTCTTGAACTGAATTTTATGGTTTAAATAGGTAAAAAACGCTCCTTTGGACGCAATTTAGAAATCTGAAACCTTTCAGATATTTTTATTATTTTATTAATTTAACTAATTATTTAATTTCTTTAAATATAATACAGAGCGATAATGTTTGGCGGCAGCAATTTGAAAAGTGATTCAACGCTTTTAGTGATTCGACGTAAAATGTCGTTTCGAGAGTAATAACCCTTCTGAGCAAATATACCTTTGGGCTAATAAATAAGGGATAAGAAAGTAACAACTTTTTGTCTCTCCTCTACTCTTTTATCGTGTAACTTAGTTACTGAAGTACAAACTGTAATATAATATTCATTTATAAAATGATATTTGAATCTATAATATCATTTTCATTTAGGAAAATATTTTGCTTGTTTGATAGAAACAGAAATTAGGATACTACAGTAAAAATTCTACAATTATATATATATATATATTTTGATTTTTTGAATTTTGGAAGCACTGTGAAGTTATGTTCAAGAAGAAATAAATTATGCGAAACCCAGTTTGCATTAAACGGAAAAGAGATTCACTGAGGAAATTTACGTATAACATGTTATTTCATTAATACTGCTGTTTCAGGTTCTTGTACAGTTCTGTAGCAAATGCATGGCGTGGAAGAACCCGATCAGAAAACTTCAAGCATGCATCTCATTTACGGAGATGTTTGTAATTGTGAAATATCTGCCTCCGTGTATTCATAAATGTTTTTAAGTGGAAGTAGCAGATGTTAGTCATCTGAGTGTCTGTTTCAACAAAGCAGTCAACATTTGCGTGAAAAAGCTGTTCAAGTGCAATTCTAAGAATGAAAACGTGGAGTTTAAAAATTCTGAATGTTCTGATTAGCAATCCTTCGACACGGGAGTTATAGATCATCAAGCGAAAATTATTAAAATTAAAAAAAATAATAAATATTCACAAAATACGCCTTCAAAATGAGCTGTTAATGCTTTCAATATCGGTATATTATAAGGCGAGAGTAAAGTCTGAGCTTGCTAACATTTTACATAAAAGGGATGTTTTGCTAGATGGACTACATAATACGTGCTTTACATAAAATGGACTTTTCTAGATGGGAATACTCCACCTTTCTATACCGAGAGACGAATTCCATAGTACGAGTGCAACAATTATCGACATCGCTTTAGAATGATGTACATAGGCTCATACCGTTTTTAAGAAATTTATATTGATAAATCCTTTTCACAATAATCGGCTTAGGAATGCTAGTCACTTAATCTCTTAATATCAGGATGCTTTTCCAAAATTAATGTTTTAATTTTAGTGAAGTACACAAGAAAACATTTTTCTTTTTAATTTGTTTACAGCCCTTAAATATGATGCTGAAATTTAATATCAAATATTTCGGTCAATTTTTATCGCATGGGACTCAAATATTTCCTGTTTCATATTTTATAACGAATACAAATTTTCTTAAATATAAGTAAAGCGATCGGAGAAACGTATGAAGAGTTAAATTTCGTATTTTATACAAAATTATTTTTTTAAAAAAAATATTAAAACAGGAATGCTTGTATTATTTAAAACAATTTATGTTCTTGGAATTATATGTTTACGACGAACGGTTGCGAAAATAAAGGCCAGGTAAAGACAGTTACTGTTATAAGACATTCGAAAACAACATCAACGAATTTATAGTTAAAGCAAGCTATCAACTGAATTTACCTATAGATACCTTTTTAAAATGGAAAGATGAAATTCTTCAACGAATATCTACCGAAATCAATCACCTCAAGTTTAAAAGTACATTAAATTGGTCGCAACTTACATCAGATATAAAAAATTAAAAAAAAAAACTCTTTACTATTACAAAAATAGATAAAGCAAATAATAACTTTAGCATTATATGAAAACAAATCAACGCAGAAATTATTCATAAAGAACTTTTCAACGCAACTACTTATCAATTAGCAAACCTTACAGAAACATCTGTAATAAACAGAATTAAAACTTTTCATAAAAAACTAAATATTACTTTAAATCCAAGCTACAACAGATTTACTAACCTCTATGCACTTCCCAAATTCCATAAAACACCATTAAAATTCAGATTTATAGCAAATGGAACTAATAATTACAAGAAATGTAGACTATTATTTTTCAATTCAACTTAAAAAAAATCTGTAAATTTATTTTCAACGATTGTAACACTAATCATAACTATTGCTGGATCATCCATAATAACACTCCTGTCATTAATGCCATTCAAACAATTAACATACAGAACATTAACTGCTATGACTTTGAAAACTTATATACCTCACTTCCCTTTAGAAGAAATTTATACTAGTCTACTAGATCTGCCTAAACTCTTCCCTGATATATGCTCACGATTATGAATCTTAATAAATGGAAAAACTACCTAAAATGCACACTTTTTCATAACTACATTAAATTTCAAAATCAACTTTTTAAACAAGTCAGAGGTCTTTCAATGGGGTCCCATTCCAGTACCTCGCTCTGTAATATCGTTTTATTTATCAAAGAATTTAACTTCCAAAAAAAAGCTACAACCACAAGAATTAAATTACTACAAGCACACTTACAGATATATAGATGATATTATTACAATTAATAATTTTAATAAGATTGAATACTCCGAGATTTATCCAAATTGCCTTACACTTAATAAAACTAATAATTCACAAAATAGCATAGACTATCTCGATGTTCAAATCATTAATTACAAAAAAAATTTTACTTTTTGACAAAACAAGAAACTTGAGTTTCAATACTAACAAATTAAGAAATTGGAATTCCAACATATCCAAAAAAGTAATTAACAATACAATAATAAATCAAATACAACGTATAAAAATATCTGCACAGATACTATTGATCTACAATGCGAAATTTTGCTCCTTATTAAAATTCTCAAAAATAATCTAATACCTAATTCATTTATTTACCATTGCCTCAAAAGAAGCAGACGTTAAATACTCACTCTAAATCATTTACCTGATAGGGATATGATAATTTGTTCCTAAACCTGAGAAGGCGATATAAGTTGGATGACTATCAGTTGAAGGATTTGTACACTGCTCAAAAAAAAAAAAAAAAAAAATGGGACAGTTCTATATCTCCCGTTCTACTGAGCCGATTGACAAAATTCAAATTGCGTTCTTCATGTCTCGAAAGTGCGACTTAGGATATATATTAGATTTATATATAGCACTATTCTAACATAGGTATTTTGACACAAAATCGGACTTTTTCTGAAATAACATACCAATTTTTTTACATATTTCGATTCTACGACTCAAATTACGCCTAAATATGAAATTTTGTAAAATTTGGAGCGAAATTTACGGAGAAATTCACAAATTTATGTTGGCACTTTTTTTTTAGTTAGCGCCAAGAATAGTTCACTTGGCGAACTTCTTAATATATGGCACAACCTAGTTTCCTTTCCCGTGAGAGGAAAAAAAGTCACCATCTTTCCTTTTTTCCAAATAATATTCTTTATATTATATTTTTATTTTTAATTGTAACTTATTATTTTAAGTAATTTTTTCTTTTTCGAATTTCATTTTAATTGTTTAAGTTGCTTGTTTTTTTTTTTTGTTTTTTTTTGTTTTTTGTTTGTTTGTTTGTTTAAAATAACTGTTTTAAAAAATTTCTATTTACCTATTCGAACTGCGTAAATAAAGGTGCAGCGTTTTTATTTGTTTCAAATAGTTTTCTTTACATATATTTTTTGTATATATATTATTTTAGGTAATTTTTAAATTTTTAGACTTTTATT